TCCTCCATGACCACCTCCTTCGTCCTTCTTCCATGACCACCTCTCACAACACCTTTCACCGGCAGCCCCACCCTCTAGCCGCCTTCCCTGGCACCCCACCCCTCATCGGAAACCCACCTAGTCAGCCCGGCTAGCCTCCTCAAACACCCCAACCAGCCACCACAAACACTCCAACCAGCTCGGCAAACTAGCCACCATAGCCTTAGAAAACGCCACCCCCTCTCCTCGAAAATGCCACCCCGACCCTAGAAACCCTTCTAAGTCGACCACCATGTAGTTGGAGGGGTTAGGGCTAAGCGGCGAGGGGTTAGGGATGGGCGGCGAGGGGTAGGGATGGGGGTTAGGGTTCCGTCGGTGAAGAAAGAGTACCAACCACGGTAGCGGTGTAGTCGGAGTTAGGCGCGACAGGGGGTTAGGGTTCCGTCGGTGTTAGGCGCGCAAGGGGGCTGGGTTCCGTCGCCGACAGCAATGTCAGCCCGGCCAGCTTCCTCGAACACCCCAACCAGCCACCACGAACACTCCAACCAGCCACCACAACCTTCGAAAACGCCACCCCCTCTCCTCGAAAATGCCACCCCGACCCTAGAAACCCTAGCCCCCTAGCGCGCCTGACGTTGCCGAGAGCAATGGTGAATGGGAAAGTGAAGAAAGAGGGGGTTGTGTGGGTGTGATGGTGGTGAATCTGGTGATTCAATTCTTATTGTTTTTTTACAACATACTACATTTGAGGGATTTTCATTCCATTCAATTCATTTCCTTTGTTCATTCCATTCCGTTTACCCCGTGCAAACCAAACGGCCCCTTAAAAAACACACCGACAATGACACATGTCATCTCCTAATGTGTCCTTAGGATTTTTATATTTTTAAAAATATTTTTAAAACCTTATACAAAAATAATAACTATTTTTTTAATGGAATATTACTTAAGATAAAATATTTAATATATCTTTTAACATAAAATAATAATGCTATAAGTAAAAAGTAATTTAATCAAATCCTTGACATATTTTGTGACACAATATATGAAAAAATATTATTATTAAGATTTTTTGCATGTATTTATTAATAACATATTTTTGTGACACAATAAATATCTTTTCAATAAGGGGGTTTTAAGATTATTGTTTAATGCAATGTTAATCTTTTTCAGGGGTTGCTAGATGATTTTAAATAAAGTTTTAAATAAAAATGTTAATTTGTATTAAGAAATTGTCGAACATTAGCAAATCTTAGTCGGTTTGATTAAAATATGTAATAAAATCTTTTGGTTCTTAGATAAATCAACCTTTGACCATCCGAATTAAATGATTTATGCAGTACATAAGTACATTACATTTTGACTTGTTGTTGCTGATAAAATAGCTAAATTGTGTCAAGATTAGCTATTTTTTAGTTTTTCTGTATTAATTATATACTTGAGCGAAACTTTGACGAATGATATGAATATTATTATTAATAATTATAAATTATAAAAAATTTATATTTTGGAAACTACAGATTAAAATAGTTCGAACAAGTTTCCGTATTGGTTGCATGACTATATCTAATCAATAATCCTATAATAAAGACGAATCTCAAATGACACTTGTTATTACGTAATTAAAAATGTTCCCGCCTATTCTTTCTTCCCCTTTTTTATATAGTATATTATATAATGTTACTAAATCTAAATATATCTTAATCATGGCAAAATTTAATAATATCTTTTTTATTAATAAGATAAGTACAATATATATCATTAACAAGGAAATTACCTTTTTTCATATAAGATAAGAAACCTTCAACAAATAAACAATTATATTAAATTTCAACAAAAAAAAAGTGTATAAACTATTAAATTTAAATTTTTTATGTATAAAAAAATCCTATTAAATAAATCACATTACTTAACAATTGATTTAATAAAATTTTAATTATTATAAATTTTGAATTAATTACAAGGTATCAACAAATCTAAGTATTAATCATCTGTGCATGTACGAGACTTTTAAACTAGTTTTATGTATAAAGCTCAAATATTAGTCAGAGTAATGTATATGAATAGTGTAAAAGTCAAATTGGTCACGTACAAAATTGAAAGAGTGACATAAGATTTTTTGTTAAATGTTGTGTTAAACTGATTATGAAAAACTTTAAGAATAAACTAGTTGTTTGAATAATTGAGAGTTTTCTAGCATAAACGAAATTCATGTTCCCTTGATTAGGAAATTTTTACAATACATTAACATATAAATTATTTGATCTTTATACTGCGACAAGAAGTGTTCCTAATGGAATACAAAATTGGAGTGGGAGAAGAGTGGCTATGGCAGTTGAGGTCTAGTGATTATGATTATGATGGTTGAAAGGAGGTGACTCAGGTTAGAGAATGGATGGATGTGAATAGGAAAATGTAATGAAAAACCAGGCATTTCTAACCGCTATTTTGACTATCTTTAACCTAAAAATTACTCCCCGTCTCACTAATATTGCCTCCATTTGACCATTTTCTGTGAATTTTTTTTTTTTTTTTTTGGATTGAATAAGACAATTTTAGTAAAACAGAGGGAGTACTTATGTTCGTTTGTATCTACTCTGTCTAGCATAAGTTTCTCCCTAAAAAGTACTTTGTATAATTATAAGAGTGACACAAATATAGTAAGACCCTTCACAATCGACAATTATTATCGGAAAATCTATTTCTTTCAAGTAGCAAATCGTATATTTAGTAGTATCCTTAGTTCCTTACATCTTGAAGACAACACACACAAACACCCTCAAATCTACTACAATTTGCAAGGCCAACGCATCAGTATATCACCAAATTGCTTTACAACCTGTACACTAATATAAGCTCAAAAGCAAAATTAACAAAACGCTATGTAACAGCGACATCACCGCACCGGCCAGCCTCACTTTAAGGCAGAATGCGGAACTGTCAAGAAACATAACTGGTTAAGAGAGACTTGAGGCCAGTGAAGACTATTATGTTCAATATTGCTAGTCCTGTATTCTATTATCTAAGAAACTACCAGAACAAGCGGTCAGAAGAAACTACCAGAACAACCATTAATATTTACTTGTAACAAACTCTGGTTCACCCATTCCAGTAGAAGTGACTGCTAACAATGTATCATCTCTCATTTATGCTAGCTTTGCCATAGATTGAACTAATTTTTTCACTACTTCTGATTCTTGGATTTAATGGCTTTGGTAGAGGATTCACCTCCTAACTTCAAAACAGCACCATCAACTACTTCATCGGACATGGACAGCTGTTCCACTGCTTGCCCAGATTCAAGGTGCAACATCAAGTCTTTAAGCTGCAATCATATAGAAGATTGCACGAGAGTTATCATCAGTTGCTCAAAGGTAGCAAGGCCAAAACAGGAGGAGCATCCTAAGAGATGAGCAATATAACATAATTACAAACCTGTTCTTCATGATCTCGTATTTTTTCATCCTTCAGGCTCACAGCTTTCTCCTCCCTGCAGCAATATATTTCAGTAACCCTATGCAACATCATTCAACTTGCAAAAGAAACAGCTAATTGCATAAGGATACAAGCATAAAAATGGGATACCTTAATGATACAAGATAGCAAAAACTTCATCAATAATAAAGCAGAGTGAAAACAAATAGAATAGGAGAGTGAAAAAACTGAGCATATTTCCTAAATGAATAACATATTTTCCCTGAGAATAGGGAAGTTTCCCAGTCTGTCTCCCAGGGGTTTATTTCATCACTCAGCCACCATATTAGCTTCAAAAGCACCTAATATTAAACTCACCCACCACTTATTAATCTCTTCAACAGAAATATCAATTGCAAACCTCAAAAAACAGTTATTACACTTGATCACAGAAGCATTATGCAGAAGTTCCAGTATAACAATGCAGAAATAGCATCCAAATAAACAAGATCAAAAAAATTACCTCTGCTAGGCCATTTAGCAAGTAAATAAGTAATCACAAGATCATATATTCTATTATCTTAGGAATTTTACAGAATAAAAAAGGTTATAAGCATTGAGGCTATGCTAGGCAACTACACCCCATCCCCCTTCCCCCCCCCCCCCCCCCTCCTTCCAGTATCCTGGAGTTATTGATTACTAGCAAAAATAAAAAAAATGGAGGGAAAGAAAGAGCATGTACCGGAAGAAGGGAAAGGGAGGGAGAAGAAACGACATCGTTGGAGTAAAAATGCATGACACCGCGAGTTTCTTCAATTCTAGGATTTCCGGAGGAAAACGACAAGGTTTGAGTAGAGATGCTAGCGGATAGTTGCGAGGATGAGTCGCCGGAAACCATAATCGCCGCTTCCGGAGGAGGCAGAGGAGGAGGAGGAGGAGGAGGAGGGGAGGCTAAGCTGCTTTGCGGTGGTTCGATGGTGGGAGAAGCGCTGGCGCTTGCAGAGGTTGCTTCCGCCATTTTCGGGATCAAGTTGAGTGTTGAGGTTAGAGAGGGAAATAGAAAAAATAACGTGAATTTCACTAATACACCATTTTATGATTACATACATGTGAATATGCATAAATGCTAAACCGAGAGATTTATCAAAATATAATGAGATTTCGCCTAATAATCAATGCCTGGTGTAATACGAAAAGAGTTGTGGGGATTTTATCTAAGATCCTTTGATCTTCCTTTCCTACAACAGAATTGGATTTCTCCTCATAACCGAGGTTCTTGAGAATTTACCATAATCACGATCAAAATCAAAAATAATTTTTGAACTTTGACACATTACTTCTCTAGAATCAATTATAAAGAGATTTTCTGATAATTATTTCTCCAACATTGGCCAACTATTGAAAAGAGAGATGAAGCGATCAGTGAGGAATTTTGTGCTACTTCGGAAAATGAAAGGATAAAAAAAAGGTTTGTAATTCCATTACATAGTCCAAATTATGCATATTGCTGTCAGACAAAACAATACAAGAAAACTGCAAATATTGCACACAGCCATACAATACTAGCCAAAACGGTCATTCAGTGAAACAAAATACTGCACACAGCATAAACCTGAACCTCAAAATGATCAAATTAAGCAATCAATTTCAATGTGGAGAGAATCTCCCCGTACACAGATACAAATTCAAAACTCTGCACTTCCCGTACCATAAATCTGAAAATTATTCTTTACATAAAAGACATATCATTTCCACACTATAAAATGCAAATAATCATATCAACATACTATGCTATCAAAGACTGAATTACTAAAATACAGGGGGGGGAAAGGATTTGACGATGATGCAAAGAGGCAACATAATAAACATTCCCGGAGAGCAACGCGCAGAAGATTAGCCAGACAGGGGGCAACATGAACTTGAGAGTTACTATTGCCATGAATTAGTTTGGAACATCCAGCTGTTAACCTCCTGAAAATCTCTACAAAGCGCTCAAAGAAAAAAGGTCTCCTTTGTGCCAAGTCCTACCGCCAACTTCAATTGAATTTAACACCTAACCTCATAGGAACCAGCTTTTGTTATGTAGCGAACCCATTCAACAGTATTGTACCCACTTTTCTCCCATACCTGCAGTGACATGATGAAGTGAGAAAATAATTGGCAGTTCATTAATGATAGGGCAGAATAACTTGATCAAAGAAAAATACCTTGAGAAAACGAACACGTAACCCTGATGCTGTGAACATAGGAACCTGACAAAAAAAAAATCACATCAAATAGGGTGAAAAGATTTCAGTTCTCAATCCACACCAAGTGCAGAATGAAGTCATATACTGTACACATGCTTCACACATAGTATGTTCAGCACGAATTAAGTCATAGATGAACACTTAGTTATCTCATTTTGGCCTAAACATCACCTTATCTTCAGAAAAAGGCATGCAATTTAAGGCCATTGCTTAAAATAGAAAAATGTACATCCAGCAACATTGCAACTGTAGATTATGAGATACCTGAAATTCCATTTGAATTGGTGGCCTTGTCGAGGACTTTTTCTCACCCATAGTAGAAATCAACTCTACCTCAGCACTTAAGGTTGACTCCGTCTGGCCAGGAAATTTTCTTATTCTGTTATCAAATTCAAGAGTTATTACACAGCAGCAACAAAAGTAAAGGAGGCACATCAAAAGGGGGTGACAAATAACAAAACACATCCAATTTTTTTAAAAATGAAACAATGAGAAATTAAAAGTTAAACATTTGATTTACTAACTATGAATATCCTCCCACAAATACGAACCTATATCATAGTAATATCTGGTACAAAAGAACAAGGTATCTTTGGCCTATAATACCGTTAAGGAAATGCTCAAGAGCTCATTTAAAAAATTGTGAGACTGCAATGATTAGTATAGCTGTTAAAGATATGATAAATGATTTAATAACACATAAGGTCTATATTCCCTCAAGCATCAGGATCTGTCATCTATGCCTTGGAAAATGATACATCACAGTGCAAACAGAACCCTACTCACAGTAAAAATAAGTCTATAAAAAACACAATTACAGAAACTCTGTATCACTCCACTCCTAAATTGCTGTTTCAGCAACCCCACTTTCAATATCCAAAATCTAAGACCACTTCCAGGTCAGAAGACGCCCTAAAAGAAATTCAGCTTTCATGTGCTAACAAAGATAATATGCTGTACAAAAGCACATGCACATGCCAAATGCAAACAGATAAGAGGATAGAAGCACTATTCGACAAGGTAAATTTGAAAAAGTGGCAGGAAGAAACTCACTTCCAGACCAAGCTATCGATGCTTGGATTATACTTTGCTCTACCAGATGTCACTTGGAAACTTGTTTTAGCAGTTTGCTTGGGAACTGGTATTTTAATCACAACTCCCAGAGCAAACATCTTCGCACCGAAAACACTCTTAACCTGATAATTACAACTTATAAGCAGATGTCACAAAAATACATACAATAAGATTGATGCTCGGCTTCACAAGAGAAACTGTACAAACCTTGACATTCACTTCCATTCGTGTCCTACCCAATTCCTTGATTGTTGGCAATACTCGAAAGGGCAGGTTCACACCCTCAGTTATACGATATCTGAAATATCACGAGCAGAGAATATTATAAAAGTAATTCAGCAAGATTTGCACAACCTGACGACTAGATGAAATTCCAGATGAAACTTTTAGGACAATTTTACACGGAGGACAAAAGACAGAGTGGACCAGAGAGCCAAGAACATTAATAGAACAAAATAGACAATAAACCATGCATTCTGGTGTATCAAATACTAGATAAACAAAAAATGGTATAATCAATTTGACCACAAATATTAAGGGAACAAAATCATGGCAGACATTAGATTCAACAACAAAAAGACAAGAAGCTGCTTCAAATAAAGAGACAGCATCATTAATTCTTTAAATTGGTTGCCCAGTAGACTTCATTAATTCAAATGAAGAAACAGCATCAAATATTTCACACCAGCCAAACATTAGCCAAAAAGCCTATTCATTGAAATAGTTGTGAGGCTTACTTCATTAATTCAAATTCACCATCTGGAGGGACAAAACTGACAGTCTTCTCTGAGTTGAACCTTGTCAAATTAACACATTGGTGGAAGGTTACATCATCCAGCTCAATTGTCTTCCCACTGAAAAAAGGAGCATAACAAGGAAATAAGAAGTTAACTACAGCAAAATCTGAGTGGAACCAAATGAATTATGAAAACTGAACTGTGATAAGAGCTCACAAGCAGAACTTAATAAGTACTTCGTTATAAATAGGGCTTGACCTAGAGCCAGGTACACATAAACACCTCTACCCATATGGGAATAGTTCAACATGGTGCCACAGACATGAATATCATACTATCATAGTTGTTATGCTAAATATTTAATGTAGGATTATGTCTACATGACACGCAGCCAAATGCAATGCTTTTCATTACAATTTATGTACAGCAGTGCAATTACACCTTAGAAAGACCCAGTTTGTAAAACAAAAAAGCAAGACCAGTTAATGAGTGAAAAACTAACTGTAATCTCAGGCAGATAAATGATAAGAAAGAAGACTGATTCACAGAAGCTACCTTTTTGCTGGACGTGCTTTCAACTGTGACTCTTTTTCAAGACCAATTTTATCATTTAATCCCAGCTTCAAATCAGGCATTCCAGAGAGAAAGCACTTCATAAGAATCTTTCCAGTAACATCACAACGCAGCACACTACCTGTAAAAATCAATAAGCATTACAAAACACTACATAATCAGACACCGGCAAAAACCCCAATTCCCACACATACACATAAGAGGGGGGGGGGTGACCCACCTTTCGAAGACATAAGAAGATTGACACTTTCTACAATATCTAGGAACACCTGCAGGGGAATGCTAAAAATAATTAAACAGTGGACTACAATTGTGATACCTAACACACTGACAAGACAAACTTATATCACCTCATTCTTTTTGTACATGAGACCTTCTCTTCTCCAGCCAACAGCACCTGTTACTTGCAACGTTGCATTTGGCACTGGTTTATCGGCAGGCTAGATTGTATGGGAACAACAGAAAACAAAGAACAAGCAAGAAAAATAAAAAATTAACAAAACATCTGGAAATCTTCATAAGCCTATGCCAAAAGGCAAAAGTCAAACATAGCTATCAGATAATACAAACAGATAAAAATACATACCTTGGATGAGAATGGTGAACGTACTCCCTCCTGAGTGATGTAAAGCTTCAAAATTTCTGGCGAAAGATTTTGTGGGTAACCAAAATCCATAATTTCTGCAATTTAGAAAATATCAGAACATAACGTGTAAATGAACTTTGTACTACGGCTCGTGAAATATAAGAACAGGTGACGGCAACACCATAAGAAGACAGCATAAGGCAAGATGATTTTGCAAAATTCAATGAGCAAACCAGTGTATAAAGACAGAAATATGAGCACAGGAATGCATTCATATCTACAACATGCATCCCACCCTCCACCATGCTTAAGTTGATTTGTTAAGATACTTATGAATACCTGTGCAATACACCCTTATTAGCTTGGTAAGATAGTAGCTATAATCATATTCATGAGCATTGCTAAATCTTCCCATTCTAGTTTCAATGAAGTCATAGACTATAGCATCCACACAATGTTTCACAGTGATAAATCTCAGAATAGAATCCACAACTTTTGCACTCCCTACCCCTTCCCCAAAAAATGGAAATAAAAGAAGACCAACTTTACATTTATTATTAATTACTAGGAATAAAATACTGTTATACATGTTTCTTGTTTTACATTCATGCCTAATCACTTCTATATCATTTTTGGTAGCAGAAATACATATTGCATGATAACATACATAATTCATGTGTTAGACACAATGAACAATAAGAATAAATTCAGAAAGGTCTGTAAATATAAATTACAGAATATGCATTACATACCATCTAGCAACTCGTATATGAGGACAAAATTATTACGAATAGCATCTTCATCAAATTGTCCGCCAAAGTATGATTTGAAAAGATTCACAGCCTGCGGAGAGTTGAAAATTCATAGTTAGCCAACTTTATCACTCAAATTACTTACAATTAAGCCAAATCTTCATCTTTTTTAGTATTTTGCTTTTCTCAAAGTAGTGTCCTACTTCAACTAATCATAGCATCTAGCTAACAAGGTGAAGGGTCTTGTGAGATACCATGACTAATTTCATGAGAAAGCCTGAATCTATTTACAATCAGAATTCATGATCTTTTCAACCTATAGAGGCAGCTGGTGTTTTCAGAATAAACCTGAATCTATTTACAAGCAGAATGAGGTAAGAGAACTATGATTCATGATGATGACGTTGAGTTAGTAGCAGCTTTAGGAAGGCTGGCTAGATGGATAATTAGGGAAGAGAGAAGGTAGAAATCAAATAAAGGAGGAGAGTGATATACGAAGGACAACTCCATGAAAATCCATCATCAGGGGGAACTTACTCCCAAAGAAACAAAAAAACAGAGAATTACCTCAACAACAAATTTGAAAGCACAAGCAACATTAGCATTGCTGCTGACAACAATTACAATGTACACATTGCTGATTCTCATATAAAGGAAGGAGCAGCCTCCTATTTGCCTCACAGGACAAGTACCGAGTTCCTTCGTTTGCATAATATGCATCCGAAATGCATCAACCATGTTGCCCCTATTATCAAAAATATAAACAGTTTATAATTGTTCACAAAATGCAGCAAGGAAAAACAACGCAAAAGCCTCACTCTTCAGGGCAATAGTGAGTTTGCATACTCCACTTTTACAAAAAAAGACAAAAAGTCGATGAATAACAAGTAACACATCTTTATTTCAGTATCTCTCAAGTCTTGTTGTAGTAAAAAAAAAAAAAAAAAAAAAAAAAAAAAAGGGAAGAAAAGATAGGGGGAGAGCGGGGAGGGGGGGTTTGCAAATCAAACTAAACCAGATTGCAGATTTCGAAATTAGGTAACGGACCAACTAAAACAGCTGTTGAGGTTACAGACAGAGTAAACACCAAAAGCATGCCTACATTGAAAGTATAAGTTTGGGTTCGGGAGCGTAAACTCAAGGTTATATAATTTCCTTTTGTATCCTGGCATGAAATGATTCCCGTGGTAATATATTCTCCCCTACTCCTCTCTTTCTTTCTCCTTCTCACCACCAACTTCATCCTTGATAGAAATGAAGAAAGAGGGTGGAGGATGGAGGAGATAGAGCAGAAAGATGTGAGGTCTGAGGTGTAAGATTGGTGATGGCCCAGGGGTGAAAACAGTTGTGGTTGAGGAAGGTTGGTGGATCATGGATGTGATGGTGTGATGAAGCTAGAGATGACAGAGGGTAACAGGCAGTATGCTTACTTTAAGGGGTTAACACTACTGGTTAGCCAATATGGAAAGCAGCTTAATTTACTTTATTTTTACCCCCATTCCAACCAAAAATTATGAACCTACATCCCCCCCCCACCCCCCTTCTCCCCCCTCCACTGAAATACTACTCTTCATTTCTTCCAAACCAGGCACACCATCTCAGACAAAGAATAACAAATGAAGAATGCCTACATGACGTCATCAGTCAGACTGGTAATAATGAAGTAATGAGAGATATGAGCAAGTATGTCTGCTCTGATTCAAAAATGTACTACAGTATTAATCTCCAGCTTTCGTCACTCCAAAACTTTCAATCTTTCACTTCTAAACACTCCATCATTAGCTCAAGTACAAAGCACATGAAGAAGCTTTTAAAACAGATAGTCCAGTTCTGTATTTATCCATTGATAACTACCCAGCAACAAATAAGCAACTTCTTAAAAAAAACTCGATTCATTGATCAGCATTGTCTTGATTTACTATGCGGTACTGCCAGCCCAGGCCACCATCAACAAACAAAGCATGTACATTCACATCCACTTCGATTCAATCCTATTGTTTTATTCAACAACTCCATGCAATTACTAAACAGCAATCTAAAATTGTAATTTCAGCTTCTAAGTCGGTAAAATCACACCATCACTCGGAATCAAGTAGATCAACACCATCACCGGCATAAATCAACCAAAAAAGGGGCAACAACTCAAGCATTAAAACTTACAATCTAATTAATCCACCAATTATGTTGAACAAAATCACATATAAGTCAAATTAAACTTCAAATATAACCAAATACACAAATTCAATATCAAAATCACATTCAATCAACGCAAATAAATAGAAAATGATAGGAAAAAAATACCCGACATCGTCGCGATAGAGGCGATTGATAAGAACATCACCACGAAGATTCAAGAAGTATATTGCAGAAGCTGCCACCGGCATATTGAACCAGTGGATCTAAAATCCACCAAGAATATTCAAACCCTAAAATGAACTTCGAAAAATCGATCGCAGAAATGTAGCTGAGATCTAGGGTTTCCAATTTCCTAAAATTCAATTAGCAATTATCAATTCAAATGTCAGGAAGTAAATTTGAAATTAGCATTTTTGGGAAATTATAAGAACATTTTTATGATTAAATTGAGCTGGAGAAAGGTCAGAAATACAGAAAGGTTGGTGTAGGGAACGGAGATAGATCAAATAGTTAGAGCTAATGTCAAGTAATTATTTAAGGGATTTGTTAAACATCGTCCACAAATTACTACATAAAGCCCACAAAATTCACTTGGTTTGTCAAAATTGCCCTTGACCTTAAAAAAAAAACACTCACACTCTCATCACTCACACTCTCATCACTCACACTCTCATTGCTCATCTTCTTTCAACCTCTCTACAAAAAAAAAATTCAAATAACGGCAATGTCGAGGCGGCAAGGCAAGGAATTGGCGGCGGAGGGAAGGATGTCCCAAGGAGGAAAGGTACATTTTGTTTAAAAAAAAAAAAAAAAAAAAAAAAGGGAAAAACCGTCGTGACCGCGGTGGGGCGCCCTGGCTGGACGCCCAGCCAGCGGTGGTGGCGCCAGCGGCAGACGCCGCCACCGCTGGCTGGGCGTCCAGCCAGGGCGCCCACCCCCCCCCCCCATTTTTTTTTTTTTTTTTTTTTAAAAATTGTTTTTAATTTTTTTTTTTTTTTTTTTGTGTAATATAATTTTGAATTGTTTTTATATTTTGTTGTTTATTTTTATAAATTTTTTCAATTTCGTTGTATTTTTTCTACGTTTATATTTTGTTTACAATTATTTGTATGTTTTTAGTTTATTTGATTTGCGATGATGATTATTTATCGTATAAATTTTTGTATGTTTATATATTTTAAAATTTTGTGTAGAATTCACTGGGTCGTCATGGTGCGGGGAAGAATATAGAGCTTCTTAGTAGAAGTTATTCAGTGGAGAGGTCGAGGCATAGACATGTCAGATCCCGTGGTATTTCGGCCTCAGTTCGTAGAGAACGGATCCACCGTCGGGATGAGGATGACGATGACGATGATGATGCTGAGGAGGGTGACCAGGAGGAGGAGCAGGAGGAGGGCGCAGATGAGGATGAGGATGTGGACGATGGCAGTGGACCGTATGATGATTACGGTCCATTCAGTCAGAGGGTTGATGACATGTACGAGACGCATATGGTGGAGGTGCGTAAGGGTAGGGGTGGTAGGTTTGTTAGTAGATCTGGCACATCATCTGCGTCCACTGTATCTGGGGCAAGCAGGAAACGGTCGAGGGCCGGTAATGATTCTTGGGTTGTTAGGAGTGAGGTGCCCGGTGGGCCTGTTGACGGGAGTGTGATTCCTAGCTTTCTAGGACACATAGCTGCCCGTATTTGGGAGGACCAGCAGAGGCCTTCAGTTACGGGGTTGTTGAAATGTCATACCCGGGAAAAGACTTGTAGCTTTTTGCGTACATGGGCTGAGGCCTGGCCGGCGGAGAGCGAGATGTTCGAGCGACTGGAGGGCACTGGGGTGAATCACGTTCCTGCCACCATGCACGATAAGATTGACAGTACGCTGATCACGGCTTTCATTGAGCGATGGCAGCCGGATACAAACTCTTTCCACCTTCCGTTCGGTGATGACGATCATGTTACATGACGTCGAGGCCATTCTGGGGATTCGTGTTGAGGGTAAACGACTTTGTGCTGTGGCTGATGCGGATCAGGCAGATTCGCTGGCGGAGTTGTTGGCGGTGGACAGGGTTGCACTGTACACCGAGGCGCTAGGTGTTTGGGAACACGGAGGTGTGAAGATCGCATCCGTGTTGCAGCGGTGTTTGTACCCCAGTGCACGTAGGACGCCCGACGCACAGCTGAGTGCTTATGTTTTTCTACTCCTCGGATGTACCTTGTTTCCGGATAAGAGCGGCGGAAACAAGCTCAGGCCACGCGACATCGTAGAGGCGTGTGACCCCGACAGTGTAGGCCAGTTTTCCTGGGGATCGGCTACGTTGGCGTATTTGTATCGCCAACTAGGATTTGCGAGTCGGGCTGACGCGGCAGGTATCACTGGGTGTCTGACTCTATTGTAGACCTGGATATACGAGTACTTTCCTGCATTGCGACCACATCGTGACCCAGTTCCTATTGATGAGGGGATGTCGCGTGCTTGTGCGTGGAGTCCGCGCTCGGAGAAGAAGTCCGTTGACCGCCTCCGATCGATACGGTTATTGCTGGACAGGCTGTCCCCCTTAGAGGTAACGTTTATTTATAGAGTCTACATTTTATTATTTGCACATATTATATTCATGTTATTAAATTTTATATGTTGTTATTGTACAGGTGAACTGGATGCCTTTCGGCCCGAACCCTAGTGTTAGGGTACCCAGGACCCTGTACACGGGACTCATTCAGTATCGTGACATCGTCGAGGCGTACATGCCCCAGCGTTGTCTTCGCCAGCTTGGGTTTGTCCAAGTTGTCCCTCCTCCCCCGGCGTGCCCGATGAAGGCGGTCCGACCTGCATCGTCGAGGGACTACGTCGTGGAATGGCCGGATATCATGACCGGGACGTGGGACCAGTTTCCGATGGTGGCCCGCTTATGGACTGCGGAGTTGCAGCGGCCGCCCTCTGGGGTTACTCCCATGTGTGACCATTACTACATGCAATGGTTCAACCGGTATTCGCACCCGAGGTTGATCGCTGATCTCGACCACAGCGATGATGATTATGTGCCACCGCCTACTGCCACGGAAGCGTTATGTCTTTTATTATATTTATCGTTGTCTTTTAATTAAGTTTTATTTGTTGTTATTGTATTTCATCTTCTGTTTTTTGTTGTATGCGATCCATTCTACCATCCCGTTGAGATTTATGAGTTACTACTACCAAGCAAAATCCAGCTGCTATTGCAACCCCTTTTGCCCAATCAATCGCCTGTTGAGCTTCTTCGAATGGACCATCATGTCCAAATATCCCACTGTAATCATTTCCGTCTCCACCATATTCCTGCATCAATTATATATTACAATAAATACATTTAACGGATAATACATTTAATTTCTATATTTACACAGAATTAACACAAAAAAAAACATAATTATATATAATCAAACTTAATTTTTATAAAAACCCAATTCGAATTTTCAAACTAAATTTAAAAATATACCATTTCGAATTTTCAAATTTAATTTTTAAAAAACCTATTTCGAATTTTCAAAATTAATTTAAAAAAAAACCATTTCGAATTTTTTAAAAAAATCATTTTCGATTTTTTTTTTACAAAAAAATTAAATAAAAAACAACAACAAAATCAAAAAAGAAAAAAAAAATTAATTATTAAAGGTGGCGTCTGCCAGGGCTGCCACAACCACTGGACTGGCGCCTGGCAGGGCCGCCTCACCCAGTGGAGTGGCGTCTGCCCAGGACGCCAGTCTGGTGGTCTGGGCGTCTGGGCTTGACGCCACTCTGGTGGTTCTGGCGTCTGGCTTGGACGTCCAGGCTACGGTTTGGGCGTCCACCCTAGGCGCCGGAGCCACTCCGACGGTAAACCGTGAATTTTAACGGTGACTTACCTCGTTTTCCGTCGACGACGACGTACCTCCGGCGTCCCCCGCATCTCCGGCCTGCCCTCCGGTCTCCCCCGGCGAGCCAGTACGGCTCCACATTTTTTACACCGAGATTATTTCAATTTTAGAAAAAGGGCATAATGGTCAAACCATATCATATTTGTGGGCTTTATATGGTAAATTGCGGGCGATGTTTAGCGTTTCACTTATTAAAGGGAAATTCTACGCAATATCCCTCGTTCACTTTTCTATGTCCTCTCCTTTTAAAAATTCCACGCTTTAACCTCAAGGTCCATTTATTGACTACGCTACAACCTTACCGTTAACCCTTCATTACATGTTGCCGCTAGTGGGGCCCACTTTTACCTATTTAATTTTTTTTCTTGATGTTCATGCTAAAAAAAATATTTCGTTAGAGGTTTTAGGGGTCATTTTCTTTCTTTAAGATTCCAAATTGAGCTCGGATTTTGCAAAAAAAGAACGTAGAATTCCATTTTGTGAATTCGGATTTCCGTAGTTAAATTTAGAATTCAATAAAACGGGGCTTTTACGTTTTTTTTTTTTCAAATCCGAGCTCAATTTGGACCCTTAAAGACTAAAGTGACCCCTAAAACCTTTAACGGGATATTTTTCAACACGCAAATCAAGAAAAAAATATTAAAAAGTGCAAAGTGGGTCCCACTAATGGTGACCATTACAGGAGGATAACGGCAATGTCATTGTTGAGACATAATTGTAAGTTGAAGGTTACAGTGTGTAATTTTCAAAAGGAGGGGCACAACTTGGAAAAGTCAATACTCGAGGGTTATGGTATAGAATTTCCCTTTTTAAAATAAGGAAAAATTTCACTTTTGCTACCACCAAAAGGCATGCATCTCAGTTTTGCTACCCCTCCAAATTTTTTTTTTTATTTTGCTACCACACAAAAACACAGTTGTTAAAAATTGTTATCACTTAACGGAATGGGTTAGGATTCTGTTAAGTTTATTAAAAAAAAAAAACACACCACCCTCAACTGTCATCCTCCCCCCTTCTTTTCCTCCACCTTTGCAACCCACCACCCTCAACTGCCCAACCAGCCCCCTCCCGTCAGCCACCCTCCCCCCGCCGGCGCCAGCGACCCCACCCCAATCCCTTTCCCCCACCAATGCAACCTACCCCCCTCCCTTATCCCTTTCTCGCTGCCCCAACCCCCACCCCAAAACCGGAAAACAACCCTCCCTCCCCATCCCCCCCAACGGAATCGGCCCCCCTCCCCTTCCCCTTCCCCCACCCAAAAACCGGCACCCCTAACCCATAAACACCACCCCTAAACCACCATAAGCGAAACCCTAAAACTCGTTTAGGGTGGTTTCGACCTGGTGGTTTAAGGTTAGAGGTGCCAGTTTTTAGGCGGGGGAAGGGGGGGTAGATTCAGGGTGGAGGAAGGGGAAGGGGCTAATTCCGGTAGGGGGGATGGGGAAGGATGGTTGTTTTCCAGTTTCAGGGTGGGGGTTGGGGTAGCGAGAAAGGGATAAGGGAGGGGAGGTGGGTTGCGTTGGTGGGGGAAAGGGATTGGGGTGGGGTCGCCGGCGCTGGCCAAAGCATTGGGCGCCGATCGCCGGCAGGGGGAGGGGAAGGGTGGTTGACGGGGGCAGTTGAGGGTGGTGGGCTACAAAGGTGGAGGAAAGGGAGGGGGGAGGGTGGCAGTTGAGGGTGGTGGGTTTTT